CCCCTGTAACCTGCCCTGACCCCCAACTAGGGGGATAACCCCTCACTGACTGCCCCCCAGTAACCTGCCCTGACCCCCAACTAGGGGGATAACCCCTCACTGACTCCCCCCCAGTAACCTGCCCTGACCCCCCAACTAGGGGGATAACCCCTCACTGACTGCCCCCCCAGTAGCCTGCCCTCACCCCCCAACTAGGTGATTAACCCCTCACTGACTGGCCCCCAGTAACCTGCACTGACTCCCAACTAGGGGATTAACCCCTCACTGACTGCCCCCCCAGTAACCTGCCCTCACCCCCAACTAGGGGGTTTACCCCTCACTGACTGCCCCCCAGTAACCTGCCCTGACTCCCAACTAGGGGGTTACCCCCTCACTGATTGCCCTTCTAGTAACCTGCCCTAACTAGGGGGCTAACCATGCACTCGTGCCTCTCCAGTAACCTGCCCCTCAGGGTTGGCAGCTCCCCCCAGGCTGAGTATTGCTGTCACCTGTCTGGTTAAGTAGCCACACTGGATATAAAGTGTCTGATAATAGCTAAAACCATTGTATCTATTCAATGAGGAATGTTTCCAAAAGAAGCAGCCACCAGGGCAGCCCTGCACTATGCATGATCCTTGCAAAACTTAAAAAATGGTTACTTTGTTCAAAATGATTTTATTATTTTACCCATAGAAACGTTAACCTGCCATAATATCAATGTCAATCCATGTTTCATACTGCTGCATTTTCTCAATGAGGGGTTCTCTTCATTTTACTATCATAGACGCCTAGGCAACCATTGATTACATGATTGTATGGTAGGCACTGTATCACCTGCTTTCTTATAGCTTGTCCATTTCAAAGATGTGTGAAAGCACTGATTAGCTGAAATGCTTCTTGGTTTATGTTTAACCCATTTGAGGCAATACAGCAACCTAATGGGGGTTTGTTTTTGTTTCAGTTTTCAGTGGAGTTCCAGCTCACAGCTTGCGCATAACTGTAAGTAAAGCTTTCCTATATTGGAGAACTTATTTTCATGATTAAAGAAAAATACATTTTGTATTTGCCTTTATGTGTTGATCCGGATTCCTGTTTCCCCCATTGTAGATGAACATGTATTTTCCTTGTCTCTTTTTTGAGTACTTGATGGTAGAACTTTTCTAGGACTCTGTGGTAGCTGATTGGTCCTTGTTTGTGATATTTAGACCCATGTTTCTATTGGTTTCTACAGTGCCAAAACATAGAATGTGACGGCAGATAAGAACCATTCGGCCCATCTAGTCTGCCCAATTTTCTAAATACTTTCATTAGTCCCTGGCCTTATCTTATAGTTAGGATAGCCTTATGCCTATCCCATGCATGCTTAACCCCTTAAGGACACATGACATGTGTGACATGTCATGATTCCCTTTTATTCCAGAAGTTTGGTCCTTAAGGGGTTAAACTCCTTCACTGTGTTAACCAAAAAATCTGATTTACATAAAGCAAGCATACTGTATACAATGCATTTTGCAATATTTTACTCTGTAAATGTAAAACTGTTCAGTGTATAAAATGGTACCCACCAAATAACATTTCAGTTTCTTGTTTTTATATAATATGATGGTGTTTGGTGCATAAATATTTTTGATAAACACATTTGTCGTGTTTGAAGACTCCTTTAAAAGCATGAACACTGCATATCTTGAAGCTGGCTAATACCTTTTTATTATTAAATCAGACTTGGCCCAGCCACACAACTCGATTCTGCCCCTTACTGTGCAGAAACTATGCTGCAGAGGCTAAAAAGACTTACCAAAGAGACAAGCCTCATGTGAATATCGGCACTATTGGACATGTGGATCATGGGAAGACCACACTTACGGCTGCAATTACTAAGAGTAGGTATCCTGATGCAAAAGGCCACTTTGATCTGTGCTCTGTGCAGGAAATCCACTGGCAAATGCCAATGAGATGAATTTGTTTCCATGTAACGTTATTCCATTTACAGTTAGGATAACCAGTGGAGACAGATTGTAAATTGCTGAATATGTGAGCACACCTTTCTATGGATGGCCTGTGTCCTTTACACAGCTTAATTATTTGCTCTGTATATACTTTTGCAGATTATAAATAATAATTTGTAAATTTGTGACTAATGTTCGTATTCTTTCCTCACAGTCCTGGCAGAGGCTGGTGGAGCCCAGTTTAAGAAATATGAAGAGATTGATAATGCCCCTGAAGAGAAGGCTCGTGGCATCACCATTAATGCATCACACGTGGAATACACCACGGCCAATCGGCATTATGCGCACACTGATTGCCCGGGGCATGCGGACTATGTAAAGGTGAATATAGCATCTGGGGATGGTTACATTGTCTCCCTCTTAGATCTGTGACAATAGGAGGGCTAAGGTGAACTTTTCCTGTAAAGCATGCATTTTAAGCGGTGACTAGACATTACCAGCTACATAATTTCAATTCTCTTGTGGGTTCTGTGCAGAATATGATCACTGGCACATCTCAAATGGATGGCTGTATCCTTGTGGTTGCTGCAACAGATGGACAGATGCCACAGACCCGTGAACATTTACTGTTAGCTAAACAGGTTAGTAATGTCATTGTCTTACCTTGGGTTACATTTAATGGAACACTCCCAAGCACTGTACCCAGTGTTCTGTAGTGGTTATGGTGCCAGGAGTTCCCGCCTCTTCTCAAAGACCATTCAGAATAAAACATTACCCTTTTATTTGTTAAGCAATTACTTTACAGTTTCTTGTTGTGAATAATGACAGTCACAATGTTCAAGTGATGTTCATGAGCTATATATTGGGTGAAATGTGCTGGATACTTTGTAACTCCTCTCCTTGCCCCCTACCCAGATTGGCGTGAAGCACATTGTTGTGTTTATTAACAAGGCTGACGCAGTAGATGACAAGGAAATGTTGGATCTTGTGGAGCTGGAGGTGCGAGAACTGCTGACCGAATTTGGATACGATGGCGAGAACACACCAGTGATTACAGGATCTGCTCTCTGTGCACTAGAGGTATGTCTGTCATCATTTGATTGGAATAAATGGAGTTGTGTGAATCGGCTTTCGTGGTGATAACGGTAGACTCTTCTCTGGTTGAACAAAATCTAATAGTTTTGTTATTATAACACTTTACAGAATAAAAATCATGATATTGGCTTGAATTCCATCATAAAACTGCTCGATGCTGTGGATACTTACATTCCAGTTCCCCCTCGAGACCTCGACAAACCCTTCCTCCTTCCAGTGGAAGCCGTCCATTCTATTCCAGGTATGGTGACAAATTATAGTTACATTCATTCAGTAGAAATTGACTATTGATTTCTTTGTAGTTCATGCAGAAAGTTTGTTGTAATTTTCATAGCCCTGTATTGTAAAAAAAAAATAAAAAAATACATTTATAGTTTTTGGTGAGTATGCCACATTAGTCAGTATGTGTGTGGACCAGTAGCAGTATCCTGACAGGCCCCACTTAGAGGAGGACACAGATGCGCACTGAAGATAGAGGCTGGAGTGGGAACTAGAATCCTGCAATATTTATTTTAATTTTTTTTTTTTTTTTTAAACAAAGGGATTAGGGTCTTTGATACTTTTGAAAATAGAATTAAAGGGAAACTCCAGTGCCAGGAAAACAATCCGTTTTCCTGGCCTTGCAGGTTCCCTCTCCCTCCCATCCCATGTCCCTCGGCGGTGGTTGCGGGTCGGCGTCGCTCCTCCCTGTAATTACGTCAGCCGTTGGGCTAGACTGATCCCGCTCGCTGGCCAAGGAAACCTAATGCGCATGCACGCGCATTAGGTCTCCCCATAGGAAAGCATTGAAAATGGTTTTCAATGCTTTCCTATGGGGAACTGAGCGACGCTGGAGGTCCTCACACAGCTTGAGGACGTCCAGCAACGCTCTAGCAAAAAAAATCTTTGCTATGAAGCAGAAACTGCCCTGTGGAGTTAACCCTGCAATGTAATTATTGCAGGGCACCCAGACCACTCCAATGGGCAGAAGTGGTCTGGGTGCCTGGAGTGTCCCTTTAATGGTTTACTGAAAGCCTCATCATAACCACTCCAGCCGCTGTCGAGGTTTTGATGCTAGGAGTACTTGGCTTTGTTCCCCGATAATGGGGCAAACCGTTTACCATCAGCTTGTCCTCTTACCTGGGTCCCACCAGGCGCCGAGCTTCCTTTAATGGTAGGTGACGCACATCTGGCTGCTGCAGAGCTGATCCTGCCAGTCATTCACTGGCTGAGAGCATCAGCTGAGTTGACATTAGCCAGCTCGGAACTCTCATTTTGGGATGACAAATGACACTGCCTGAGGTGGAGTTACCAATAAAACATCTCTGGGCATCATTTCAAACTTGCTTTTCTAATGAAAACAGGAAGTGGTTATGGTGCGTGAAGTGCCCCTTTAACATATAGTGTCACATTTTTTATTTCTTCACCAGGCCGGGGGACAGTGGTGACAGGAACTTTGGAAAGGGGAACAATCAAAAAAGGAGATGACTGTGAATTTGTTGGTCGTAACAAATATATCAAGTCTGTGGTTACAGGTAAAACATTACTTCCCTTCAGCTGTGGAACCATGTATTCTTTCATATCCTTTCTGTGTTCCTCTGCCTTCCACTGTTTACAGACTCTTATCCTCCTTAGGACTTTTGCCATTTTCTTCCAGGCATCGAGATGTTCCACCAAAACCTAGAACGTGCGGAGGCTGGAGATAACTTGGGAGCTCTTGTTAGAGGGTTAAAGAGAGAGGACGTACGGCGAGGGATGGTTATGTGCAGACCAGGCTCCATCAGACCCCACCAGAAGATCCAGGCTCAGGTATGCGTAGTTGGCCTTTTGGTGCTTATTTACACCATACAAACACATGCAAATAATGGCATTAAAAGGCATGTGAAAAAAACCATCATCAACTTCAACCTTTTTTTATCTTTGTACTGTTGCATTCACAAACTGGACCATTGTGTTTTCATTTGTCTTTGTGTGTTTTCTAGTTAGCACTTACACACTCTCCTGAGTTTTTAGCCTGTCTTTAAGTGATTTTATTTTTCCTCCAGGTGTATATTCTTAGTAAGGAAGAAGGAGGGCGTCACAAGCCTTTTGTCAGTAATTTCTTGCCTGTGATGTTCTCTTTGACTTGGGATATGTCCTGTCGTGTTACACTTCCACCTGCGAAGGTTTGTAGTATTCTTTGTTTAATTGTCTTTGGATTTACATTAATCCCAAACCTAAAGGCACTCTATTTCACATTGCTCTGCCCCTTCTATCAACATCCCTGATTAACTCATTCCCCTGCTTTTGTAGGAGATGGTGATGCCTGGAGAGGATTCAACTCTGACATTAACTCTTCGTCAACCCATGGTCCTAGAAACCGGTCAACGTTTCACCCTGAGAGACGGAAACAAGACAATCGGCACCGGGATTGTGACCGACACCTTGGAGATGGCACCAGAAGATGATATAAATTGGGGGGGCTGAACCCAACAAACTGAACTTATAGTAAAGAAGGAGGTGTGTGTTTACTGCATGGGAAGCTTAAACCAGAGATGCAGTGATAAGTGCGTACGCGACTCCCCTCCAGCACCTCAAGCTCTTTTCCTCTGTAAAATAACCCTTTCCTCAATAAATGAGCTTTGGCACTTGGTTGTAATCTATGCTTAGTCTCTGAATACGGTATGGATGCTCTCTGGACTCCATTGAGTTTTATGCTAGGAATTCTGTTGCCTAAAAGAAAATGTCCAGCCATACGTTCTTCCTGGAAGGTGAGGGATATTTCATTGTTTGTACTTTTGATACAACATACCGTTTTCAAAGGCTCTGAATACACATTGATTCAAGATCTCTTCAGCTAGATGTAACATGAAAATAATTTCAACAGGGGTCCTGATGTGAAAAGATTAGTACCAACAACAGGATAATAGAACCTCACCAACAGATAATTACAAATATATACAAGAGAAAATAAAGTAGTGTTCCTAAAAAGACACTCGCCTACCAAAAGCCTCAAAATTGTAAAATTCCAAAACTTTATTAGTATTTAATAGTGACAAAAATCGTAAAACTACAGTGAAAACCTTGTGTAATTAAAAAAACACTATATGATCAGGATACAAATGTTTATTCCTGATCCTGTAGTGTTAAAAACATGCTTGCCCCCCTTAAATAACTAGAACATCAGAATTCAGATTCAATGCATCTCTGAGGAAAGTTCAGTGTCTGCATGCAGAGGGTGGAGACACTGAATGTCAGTCACACTGTGCAGCACTGCCCCAGGAAGCACCTCTAGCAGCCATCTGAGGAGTGGCCAGTGGAGGTATCCCTAGGCTGTAATGTAAACACTGCTTTTTCTCTGACAGACAGTGTTTACAGCAAAAAGCCTGAAGGTAATGATTCTACTCACCAGAACAAATACAATAAGCTGTAGTTGCTCTGGTGACTATAGTGTCCCTTTAAGTTTTACCACTATAGGATGCTAGATATGACAAGAGAATAACTCTCCAGGATATACCTTCTGTTGGAGGGGAACTTTTATCCAGGGTTGAATAGCCCACATATTAAAGTAACTGTCTTCAGGCTACATGTACTAGGCCCTACTGTAAGCCTTCACTAATGAATAAAGACAGTGTATCACACTTTTCCTCTTTATCTAAATTATTTGACCAATTCCCCTAATCACAGGAATTCTTCTATCATTCATAAATCAGCAAAGCTGGTCTATCTTCATATAGTCATCGATTATCCAATGAACTTGCTAAGTTGCCCTCTATTAAATATAATTCACTGGTGAGGGCTTACAGTAGAATCTACTACATGTAGTCTGCAGACATTGTTGCTTTAAAGGGTCAATCCAAGCACCGTGGTCATGGTGCCTGGAATCTGTATATGCAGTTTCACTATGAAATTCTGAGCATACAGAGTTCAATCCCCTCTGCTACTGGATACTCCACCTCCGGCAGCATCATTAGGGTGTCATCAGCTAGCAGAGAACTCGAGGTCTAGGCCGGATAATGTCACTTCTGTGCAAATTTCATTGTACAGAATGTCATTGGCCGAGAGCAGTGAGCTGACGTTCTTAGCCAAAGCAATGAATGTCGATGTCCCCAGCTTCTGCTGAAGACTGGAGCATGTCACCGAACCACAAGGAAGCCCAGCAGTGACTCTGGTAAAAGGGCTAGCACATCTAGCATCATAGCCATTTCAGCGGGCTAAATTGTATAGAATAAGAGGCTGGATATGGGAATGGTCACCCAGATAGCTTTGTGACTAGGTCTCTGAATCACTTAAAGGGAATCTATAGTGCTATGAAAGCAAAGTTGGTCTTCTAGCACTATAGTGATTTACAATGCTGCTGGCGGAGGGGACCTGATATGCATTCGCGGCGAGTGCCATGCTTGCAATATTACAACCCCATAGGAAAACATTGCTTCCTACGGGGTAAAAAAACACAAACTAGTATACTTGTACTAGTCTGCAATCTAACCTACTAAGCCTTTACTTGAAATGGGAGGAAAAAAATCCACTAAAATAAATGGCCATATAGGTAGACAGACTGTTACAGTTCTGTGTTTTACCAGCAAATGAGGATTGGCTGCTAAACGGGCTCCTTCCTAAATGCTCTGAAGGACAGGCAAAAGACTGCCTGATGAGGCGGAGACCTTTCTATTCGTAGTATTTTCAGAGTTCTGTTTCTTGTCTTACCTGCTGTGATGAGCTAACACATTGAATAATCCAGCTATGTATTAGATCTTTTCATGTGACAACACTGAAGAAATTACATTCTGCTACAATGTAAAGTTATGTCCAAACTGGGCCCAAAGTATCAGTTTTTTGTGTGGCCACCATTATTTTTCAGTACTGTCCTAACCATCATGGGCATGGAGTTCACCAGAGCTTCACAGGTTGCTACTGAAGTCCGCTTCCACTCCTCCATGGCGACATCACGGAGCTGGTGGATGTTAGAGACCTTGCGCTCCTCCACCTTCCGTTTAAGGATGCCCCACAGATGCTCAATAGGGTCTTGGCCTGTCAATCACCTTTGGCTTCTTTAGCAAGGCAGTGGTCGTCTTCGCGATGTGTTTGGTGTCGTTATCATGTTGGAATACTGCCCTGCGGCCCAGTCTACGAAGGGAGGAGGATCATGCTCTGCTTCAGTATGTCACAGTACATGTTTGAATATATGGTTCCCTCAATGAACTGTAGAACTCCCCCCCCCTTGTGCCGGCAGCACTCATGCAGACCCAGACCATTACACTCCCACCACCATGCATGACTGTACGCAAGACACACTGGTCTTTGTACTCCTCACCTGGTTAACGCCACACACGCTTGACACCATCTGAACCAAATAAGTTTATCTTGGTCTCATCGGACCACAGGACATGGTTCCAGTAATCCATGTCCTTGGCCTGCTTGTCTTCAGCAAACTGTTTGCAGGCTTTCTTGTGTATCACCTTTAGAAGGGGCTTCCTTCTGGGACAACAGCTATGCAGACCAATTTGATGCAGTGTGCGGCGTATGGTCTGAGCACTGACAGGCTGATTCCCCCCACCCCTTCAACCTCTGCAGCAATGCTGGCAGCACTCAGACGTTTTTTTCCCAAAGACAACCTCTGGAAATGACTCTGAGTACGTGCACTCAACTTCTTTGGTCGACCACTATGAGGCCTGTTCGGAGTGGAATCTGTACTGTCTTGCCCACCATGCTGCACCTTAGATTCAGGGTCTTGGCAATCTTCTTATAGCCTAGGCCATCTTTATGTAGAGCAACAATTCTTTTTTTCAGATCCTCAGAGGTTTTTGTCATGAGGTGCCATGTTGAACTTCCAGTGACCAGTATGAGAGAGTGTGAGAGCGATAACACCAAATTTAACACACCTACTCCCCACCTGAGACCTTGTAACATGACACCAGGGAGGGAAAATGGATAATTGGGCCCAATTCGGGTGTACTCACTTTTGTTACCAACGGTTTAGGCCATAATGGCTGTGTGTTGAGTTATTTTGAGGGGACAGAAAATTTACACTGTTATACAGGCTGTACACTTACTACTTTACATTGTAGCAGAGTGTCATTACTTCAGTGTTGTCCCATGAAAAGATATAATAAAATATTTACAAACGTGAGGTGTGTACTCACTTTTGTGAGATACTGTATGTAACTAGGGGGTTATTTTACATCATAGGCTTCACTACCTGGTTTATCTTAATCACAATTGGCATTGCTTAACTTAAAGGATTGGTGGTTTTAATTGGGAAAATTCATGTTTTCATTATAGAACACCAAAATACATCATTATGCCAAAAAAAAAAATGCAAAGACAACATTTATATTGTTTATTTTAAGCAGCAGAGTAGATTAAGCTACAGTTCTGATCATATATCTTGTTGCTACATTATTCTAGGTCTCCCATTGTGCCTACTTGAGTTTCCAGTACTGATGCTTTGTTTTCACTCTGGTCACCAACTAAACAATCAGTAATTCCTCTGGTTGTTTTGTTAAATGAAGTAGCCTTGGAATAGAGGTACATGACATCAATCTGGCATTGGGCTACTGTTAACTAAAGCTAATATGTACGGTGTAGGCCATGGTCGAGAAATTTTGCTTCCTCTAAATGGATTCCAGTTCACAGTTCTTGGAGTAACAGGAAAGGTATTTCCAGAAGACTAGGTACTGTTACCCGTGAAGGTTAGTTCTAAATATAAGTCTTTTCCGAGTTTAAGGTTCTATGCCCCAGCTCTTGAAGTTAAATGTTAGGAAAATGATCAAATTTTTGAAATCTTGGTTTGTTTTTAGCGTCTGGAGCAGGCGAAGCCCCATTGCCTGGGATATATGGCAAGAGTTGACTCTGGAGGAGAAAACCAATATATGAAAAATGATTAAGTGATGATAGAAAATGTTAAGATATGGGACCTCCTAAGCTTGTCCCATGTTGCACATTGAGGAACTAACCAATTATTTATATCTCAAATTGTTTGAAAAATGTGGTACTTAGGTCTTACCTGTTGTATTCTTCTCCTGCCTTTGCCTCTCCTCTTCTCTGTTTCCTCGCGGGTAGAATTAAAATAAGCACTCTCTATCAGCTGCTCACAGGTGTGCCGATCATCTGGATTCATACGCAGACAGCTCTGGGAACACAGGCTCTAGTCATTACCTTTACAATGCCGCACAGTAGGTAACTAGAGCTGGTTTCATTGCACTTCAGAAAGTTCACTAATTCATAGTAAACTTTTTAAAATGTCTAATTCAAGAAGAACACCAGGTTTTGTAATTAGATATAACATTGATTTCCTTATTTATTTTTACCTTCATGAAGCTCATAACCACAGGCTGGATGTTTGTGAATTTCTCCTCCAACGTTTCCTATAGAAAAAAAAAAAGAATAACTTCAAATTGTTCTCAGTGAACTGTCTTTGGGTAAATACAAAAAACATAATCTAAAAGAAAAATTTTAAAAATCTGATTTTCTGAAATCTATATTAAACTTTAGATAGCTGGGAATTTCTAAAATGTTCTTCATTTGTAACAGGACTTAAAGGACCACTCTAGGCACCCAGACCACTTCAACTTAATGAAGTGGTCTGGGTGCCAGGTCCAGCTAGGGTTAACCCATTTTTTAATAAACATAGCAGTTTCAGAGAAACTGCTATGTTTGTGAATGGGTTAAGCCTTCCCCCATTCCCTCTAGTGGCTGTCTCATTGACAGTCGCTAGAGGCGCTTGCGTGCTTCTCACTGTGAAAATCACAGTGAGAGCACGCAAGCGTCCTTAGGAAAGCATTATGAATGCTTTCCTATGCGACCGGCTGAATGCGCGCGCAGCTCTTGCCGCGCGTGCGCATTCAGCCGACGGGGCGGATCGGAGGAGGAGAGGAGGAGGAGAGCTCCCCGTCCGGCGCTGGAAAAAGGTAAGTTTTAACCCCATTTCCCCTTCCAGAGCCCGGCGGGAGGGGGTCCCTGAGGGTATGTTTTCCTGGCACTATAGTGGTCCTTTAATGAAAGACCTTCCCGAAAAAATAAATAAATCAATAAAACCCAGAATTAGAGGATTTCCAACCAATTTGGAAAATAAAGATTCATAGAATTCTGCACATTCTGGTTCCATTAAAGTAATGTAAAGTAATTATAATGGACAAGTAGTCATTCAAGATGAATGGGTTGTGGACCATTGATTTGTTTATTATGCATTCCCGGGGGTGTTAAGAAGGAGGGTCATACCACGTCCCCAGGGTCAGGTTCAGGGATGCTGGCTCCATGAAAGAACTGGTTGCTGTGGAAGATATACTGGTGCCTTGGGATCAGCTTTCCTGCAAAACAGATAAGATGGTAAAGTAACTCATTCCTCTAGTACTGAAATATCCTGTATCGAAAATCTATAGTACTGAAATATCTCGTATCGAACACCTCTAGTACTTAAATATCTCGTATCGAACACCTCTAGTACTGAAATATCCCGTATCGAACACCTCTAGTACTTAAATATCCCAGATCTAATACCTCTAGTACTGAAATATCCGTATTAACACCTCTAGTACTGAAAAATCTCGTATCTAACACCTCTAGTACTGAAATATCCGTATCTAACACCTCTAGTACTGAAAAATCTCGTATCTAACACCTCTAGTACTGAAATATCCCGTTTCTAATACCTCTAGTACTGAAATATCCCATATCTAATACCTCTAGTACTTATTATCTCCTAATACCTTTAATCCTGGGATACTCTGTATATGATACCATTACTACTGTATGGTATACTGAGGGTTTCTCAAACAAGCCTCTAAGGAAACCATCAG